TATTATTATTATTATTATTATTATTATTATTATTATTATTATTATTAATGTTAGGGATAACATTGTTTACCCTAACTGGTTTGGGTAAAAAATAATAAATATGGTATCATTGTTTGTTAGTTAAAGTGTGTGTAATTAAGGGTGTGGTTGTAAAAGCACTATATATGAAGCGAGGCAAATGCAGCTCTCTCTCTCTCTGGTTTACTGATCCCTAATTACTTGATGGATTGATGACTGCGTTCTTGCTGGAAAGGGGAGAGAAGAAGGAGTGTTGATTTTTCTCAACGGAGAGAAGATTGGACTGATTTATTGTAAGTGTACTGACATTGGCTATTCAACACGGACTTTTTGCAAATAGAGTATCCCCGACAAGACTTGACTGAAATTGATATATGACTAATGGACCGTTTATTTGACTATGCTATAATTCTTAAATGGAATAAACTATATTTTTGATAGCACAAGCGTATCTGTATTTTTACTGCGTGTTAACTAGAAAAACTTATCTCACACATTTACCTGTCTTCCTATCTGACTTCGCTGCACGTTCTGTTTAGTTTGTTTTCCTTAACACCCGTTGGGGAATCCAGGCTTAACAATTATTATTATTATTATACACAAAAATGACAGTGTACACAGCAAATGAGATAACTATGCTGGGTTTAGTATCACAAATCACTAGTCGAACACTTCCCAAGCGTTTAGGACTGTGTGATGTATCGGCGGAGTATGGAAGCAGATCTCAGTAAGGTGGCCTTCTGCAGCTGACCAATAGTGATTTTGTCAGCACCAATTGTTTTTAAGGGCTTGCCTAGGTCTTTAGGCACAGCAGCACCCAGTGTGCCCAGTACCACTGGAACCACCTGCACTGGTTGATGCCAGAGTCTCTGCAGTTCGATTTTCAAGTCCCGATATCTGGTGACTTTTTCAAGTTGTTTCTCATCGATTCTGCTGTCACCAGGTGTGGCAATGTCGACAATCCACACTTTTTTCTTCGATGATGATGATTGACATTGCACCCCATACAACAAAATTAAATGCCATCTTCAGTGTACATCATACATAAGAAAACGATGAAAATAAAACACAAACACACATCCTTCACATTCTATACATTTGAAATGAAAACCCCTGATACTGCATTAATATTGCACTCTACAATAGAATTCAACACAGCTACTGCCCTGGGATAGAAGCTGTTTTTCAGCCTATTTGTCCTCGTTTTTATTATCCTGTACTGTCTGCCAGATGGTAATAGTTCAAAAAAAAAAGGGTGCCCAGGATGAGATGGATCTTTGAGAATGTTTTGAACTTTCTTAAGGCAGCGGGAGCTCTAAAGCTCTTCCAAAGAGGGGAGAGGACAACCAAAGATCCTCTGGGCAATGATGTTCACCCTCTGGAGTGCTTTCCTATCTGCCCCTGTGCAATTGGCAAACCATATAGAGGTGCAGTAAGTTAAGATGCTCTCTCTGGTGCAGCGGTAGAAGGTCACCAGCAGTTTTCCATTCAGTTGTTGTTTCCTGAGAAGCCTCAGGTAGTATAATCTCTGCTGGGCCCTTTTGACCAAGGCTGCAATGTGGGCACCCCAGGTCAGGTCCTCTTTTAGGGTAACACCCAGAAACTTAAAACTGGCCACTTGCTCCACTCGGTCTCCATGGATAAGCAGGACTGGATGTCTGATCTGTTCCTTCTATTATAGTCCACTATCAGCTCCTTGGTCTTATTGGTGTTGTGGACCAAGTTATTGTCTCCACACCACGAAAGCAACCGGTCCACCTCATCTCGATAGGCAGACTCATCCCCCCCACCCACCCCTGGAGATGAGTCCCACCACTGTTGCATCATCTGCAAATTTAGTAATAGTATTGCTGGCACGAGTGGGAATGCAGCCACGAACATAAAGAGTCACCAGTCCTTGCATGTTTACAGAGATTCTCAGACATCCAAGTTATGGTTGTCTCAAAGGTGGGGTTTTCCCCCCACCTCCAAAGGCAACTGGATTGTGTTTTTTCTTTCGTTGGAGAAGTAGAGCTTTCACTTCTCATCCAAGACTCCTCATCCGTCCTTGCACTTCCTCTTTTTTTCTCTCTCTCTCTCTCATTCTTCACACAACTTTCACCGGGTGGGAGTTCCTGTTCCTTCCTGTTCCTTCCTGCCCGATGCCTCATGGAAAGTCAGCTTCTTCCTTTGATCCGGCAGCTTGGAAGGACCCAGGAGCTGTGAATCTGGAACCCTGGTCAGGTCAGCCAGGACTGCTGCTTTGCAAGCTCCTGCTCAGGTGGGTGGAATTGGTTTCCCGGGCAAAGCAGGAGCGTTTTCCCTGGGGTGTTGAGAAAGGAGAGCACCTCTGCTGACATGGGCTCTCTGGATGCCGAATGGGGGATCCATTGGCCCCCTGAAGTAGGAATGGATGACATCTTTAGATCTCCGGGGAAGGTGGAAATCTTTCTGGTGGGAACAGCTCTCATAAGAGAACTTGGAGCATTGGTGGGAGAGGTTGGGAGTTCAGTTATTTGTGCCTGAATCTGCCATGTCAGAATCTTTCCCAGACAGGTGAGTAAGCCATTGGAGCGCCTGTGGTGGATGTACCTTTCTCTTCTGTCCTGCCTTTGGAGGACAGAGGAGTGG